GTCAGAACAGGGCGAGATCTCTTGAACGGGTTCTTCTGTTCCCTTCGTTTATTGTACTTTTCAGTGTCTCTGGTATTTATGCAGTCCATGATCTGCGTGGTCCATCACTGTCTCTGTGACCATTGTATCTGTATAACATTGCTCTATGCGGTGTCATGTCTGATGACCATCTCGTTACATGGCCAAACCATTTGGTTTGTTGTCTACCTATAAAGTTAAGTACTGGTTCTGTGCTGACTCTCCCCCTGATTTCGTTTCTAAGTCGATCTTACCTCGCTACACCTAGCATAGTATGTAAATTTAATTTCTGTCGTTACTGTTTTACTTCTGTCTTCTGAAGACGTAAGTTGTAACTTGTTAATTATTCAGGAATTGGCACTAATATGCCATAGTACCTCGCTATACGTTCGCTTTGGTATACGTTCTACTTGATATATGTTATGTTTAGACGTAAAAACCTCTGTTCGGTATACGACCTTTGTTTGAAATACGACCTTTATTTGATACATGACGTTTGTTTGGAATGCGACCTTTTTTGGATTACGACCCATTTGCTAACACTTTTATGAGTCAAAATTAGTCACAACACCGCGTGCTTTGTTTACCTCTCTCGAGACAAAGCTACAGAAAGATGACTTTGCAGAGAAATATCACCCCAACAAAGCCACAAATAGATGTAATTAGCTTTGTCTGCAATTACCAATGCCATATTTCCGAAATATCCTGAGAAGAAGTCAGAATCAAAGTTCTTTGGAAAGATGTTTAGTAAAAGTCAAACCTGATGAGTCTCAGTCGGGTCCATGCAGCCAAAAGGAGACAGAAACGAAAGAGAAGAACACCAGAATTTCAGATTCCTAAAGGTTTTTTTGGAAGAGGACACTCCTTTAAACAATACCATCTGTCCCTCTCCTCCCTGCAGAGTACCATCCCGGTAGGCACTCGACGTTTTCAGGCAGGTACAGTCATGTTTCATTTATGTATAATTTGTCAGGAACATTACATTTTTGGGAGGAGGGGGCGGTCAATTCTCCCTTTACTTCTTCAGGGAAAATTATTTTGGTATACGTACTGTTTGGTATACGTGCTGTTCGGCTTACGTATCGTTTGGTATAAGTGCTGTTTGGTGTACGTGCTGTTCGGTATACGTAATGTTTGGTATACGTACTGTTTCTTATACGTACTGTTTGGTATACGTCCAGGAATCCGGAGTGGATTAAGAACATACACCGAAGTGCCACTTCAATTGCTGTTAATAGTTAGACCGACGACAGTGTTGGCTGTAGTCTCTCCTGCCGGCCCGATGGTTTGGGTTCAAAACCACATCGTGGCAGATATTTGGAGAAAACAATCATCCTTGGACCCCAGTCGACCCAAATCACAATAGGTACCAGGTAGTGTTCTTGGAAGTTCCCTAAATATTACTGGGGGAGGGGGGGTCTAGCCCCCACCCCCGCATCCACCCCCATGTTTCGGCTCAATGTGCCCGAGCCTCCAGTTTCCAGCGACTAAGCAACAACCTCCCAAGTTTCTAGATGTAAACATACGTTCACTCGCTCAGGCTCGACACCCTTGACAAACACCACATACACACACACATAAGCATACAGCCGACAAATAAATAAGACACAGTCAGTGGTTTTACGTATGCAAAATGTACTACAGAACATACCCACTCTAAAGATACACAATGAAGGTAATAGTTTATTGTGCAGTTTAGCAGTCATATACTGTACAAATAATACGCGTTGACAACGAAACATTTTGCTTTTCAATACATTTACAAAGTAACTTAAAAGTTTCCGGAATTTGTGTATTGTTTACAAATTGGAAACAATGTAATTATTTACACTAAACTACCTTATATATATATATATATTTGGCGAAATCCTTGAATTTCTGCCCTTCTGTTACTTCTGCTCGGAAACAAATGTGAAGGTCGCGTATACTATTTTGCTTCATCAGGATCACTATCAACTTATAAAACTATCATCTTCATGTCATAATTACGAATTGAAACATGAATCGACTATTCCGGGAACTTTTCAGAGCAGCCTAGCACAACAGAGACGAATCTCTAATATGCTAAAATAACTTCTGTCTATGCTGTTCGACTGTATGAACATCATACCTTCTTTCGAATATCAACAAAAGTTTAGTTAGCTGTTTGGCAACTGAAGAATTGAGTTTTTGTTAACGTAGTTCATACTATTTCACATGTATTATTATACCATCATTAACTTGACTAGCTTTGAAAAAACAAAAAATCGTCACATTCAGCCAGCTTTTGGGAGGTTTTGGTTATAACTATGACTAGGTTTAAATGCGCCATATAAAATGGCATATCATTGCTCGTGACCAAGTAGCCTTGAAAAAGAACTCTATCTGCGTTGATGCGTTCAAGAGAGACGGACCCAGATTCTGTCCAGACTGAGACAAAGTCGTCCACTGGCCAGCCGATGGTCGACCCGATGATGAAGATGATGATTATACCATCCACTACCCTTGAAAATATGTAAGGCGCTGAGGCCCCGCCTCCTCCTTTGAGCCCACCCAAATTGTATGTTTGTGTTGGGGCTGCTGGTTCTTAATACACATCAAAAGTGTTTCTGTGAACTTTAGGCAGGTTTGCAGTGAGTGCAGGGAAAAGTAAAGACCCCTCCATGTAAAACTGACCTCATCCCCATTGAGTACCATCAAAAATATGAGTCTAATACTATATCCGATGCACTAATGGTGGGAAAAAGTCTTTTATTGTTTGATAACATTATCAAATCAAATAGTTTGCCCACTTGGAGAGAATGTCTTCTGATGCTATAACATACAAGGCATATACCAAAAGAGGAGAGAGACGTAGAGCAAGAGGCAAACCGAAAACACGATGGGCAAATAACATCAGATAAACTCTACATCACCACGATGTGTCTATGGTCGAAGCAGCCAGAAGAGCACGAAGCAGGACCTTATCTCCCCATTCGACAGCCGGAGCGGTAAAAGAGGACGTAAAGAAGAAGCACATGATAATGATACTGTCCACACTTGTCCACCAAATGGACTTAGAGTGGGGCCAAGTATCCGCCTGGATAAGCGGACCCCCTCAGCGGTGCTATCTACTGTTGGCAAGAGCAGCATATAGCAGTGTACTTAACCTACTGACCCCGGCAATTCTAAAAGATGGACTGGTTGAAGTTTGAGGTGCTCAACGATGTGGGCGCGGAAAACTAGGGGAAACTACCACATTATACATATATTCTTAGAAACTCCACACGGAAGTCGAGCTTGCAGAAGAGAGACTCTCAGTCGTGCCTTGAGAGCGACGTTCTCTGAGGGATCTGCTGCTTGATGATCATGAAAATAATGATGATGAGGATGCTGGTGATGCTAATAATGACAATGATGATGATGATGATGATGATGATTTTAATGTAAATAATGACAAAGATGATGGTGATGATAATGATTATAATAATGGTGATGATAATAATGATGAAAATAATGATGAAAATTATAATAATGTGAGTGAAAATAATGATGATGATGACGGTGATGCCAATGATGCTGATGATGATGATGATGAGGATGATGATGATGATGACGACGACGAGGATTAACTCTGAATTGCCCTGTCCTCATACATATGAATCAGTCACACAAGTCCTCCGGCACAGACAATCACTGTACGCCATGAAGTCTAATTATTTTATGTTTGAATCACACATTCATGGGTAACTCAATTTCTCACATATGCAAAGCATTCGATTCTCGATGTTTAGACATCATTTTGATTGAAATGATAACACAGATATGTCCCCCCCCCCCCCCCCCCCCCCAAAGTAAACGCTTAATTACAATTGTAGAATAGACCAGAAAGCGTTGTCATACACGAACACCTGTAACGTACACATCATTCATTCTTACACACAACACCATACCATCATATACTTCGACGATTACAGATTCATGACATTAGGTGCTTGTTTCATTTCTTCCTCACTGTGAAGCCAGTTGCATTTCAAGAGCATATATAAACATATCCAAGAAGAATTATAGGTAACTTTGTAAAGATCAGGTAGCCCAGTTCTATGTGTTCAAAGGCTGAAAAGGGATTTGATTTTTACCTGATCGTTTTCATTATCGAGATGTTAATTCTACATACTGTCATCTTTGGAGAGAGGGGGGAAAGAGAGAGAGACAGATAGAGAGGAGGAGAGAGAGAGGGAGAGAGTGGGAGAGATACAGAGAGACACAGAGAGAGACAGAGGAGGAGAGAGAGAGGGAGAGAAAGAGAGAGAGAGGGAGAGACAGACAGAGAGACTGACCAACGTTCAACCCCACCAGGACATCACACCGAGCGATAAACACCCAGTGGCACAAAGATGAGGATATTTAAAAACAGTTCATAAAAAACCGAAAGAGAGAGAGGGGGGTAGAGAGAGGGAGAGAGAGTGAGATAGGGAGAGAGAGAGGGAGAGAGGAAGAGAGAAGGAGAGATAGGAAAAAGGGAGAAAGAGACAGAGAGAGATGGCGGGGGAGGGAGAGAGAGAGAGGGGGGGGGGGGGTTAGAGAGAGATAGGGAGAGAGAGAGAGAGGTGGGTGGGAGAGGTAATTAAAAAAATAACATTTTGTATTTTTAAACTTCACATACGAAGGCGTGACAACCCAAAGCGTTTTTCATTTTAACCGAGTTCCTTTTCTTCCGATTTCAGCAACGACTTATTTCATTGCCTTTCACGACATACTTATTTAATGGCAGTAGATCTATTCTCCCCAACACCACCCCCAATGGGCTCCCGAACCCACACGAATAACCCAGTTATGAAGCTAGAGTAAAAACTCCAAACATAAAGACTAGAAACTATAACACATTCTTATAATTCAAACACAGTAAATAAGTGGTTGTGTCCCTTACAAAGCTCCTATGTATTTTGATTTAGAATATTCGTCATTTAACAGAAACAATCTATCTACGCAAAAATGCCACAAAGAATCGCGTCTTGTGTATATCATAAAAAGTCGCCATGTAGTATGTTTCCTATAAGTTTTTCTATTGACGAGCTCGCTAAAAGTCCCCTGAAGAAGAGCCGTTCCACAACGTTAGTACTGAAATTCTGCATCTTGGAGAGCAGCATCAGAAGTCGCCCGAATCGGATCATCTGGCGCGGGTAGCTCAACTGGATGTGCTTGTTAAGCATGAGTTGTGCTTGGTCTTGTATACATTGTACTTGACGCTTGTCAACCAGGCCTTGGATATCTGAAAGGAGAAACATATAATGTAAGTTACTTGGGGGTAAAAGTAGATAGTATAGTAATAGTATACTGGGCACTGAATGAGACGTTAAGGCCAGTATGGAGGATAGGCTTGGCCTGGCAGCCCGTTTAGCGTTGGGGTTATGTTTGCGTCTGACACGCTAGTGCAGTTTCCACATATAGACCAAAGTCTACAGTTTCACACCCTAAGCTTCTGAGTTAAGTGCTTGGTTCGGCACTATGAGGCGTGTTTTTCATGTTGAATGCCTTTTATTTGTGCAGCGGCTGTTTTGTGATATTCAGTGTGACTCTGGTTTACATGTGAGATGGTGAAATACCTTATGTAATAATTTTAGACGTGTATAGCCAACAAATCGTGACCGACTTCTTCCATCGACGACCAACTACATTTCTGGTAGCGACTGTTGGCTTTGGGGCCTCTAGCAACTGCCATATGCATTTACTGCGTGTAAAAATGTCTGAATAGTACCGGGACTAATTGTTTGTTCAATATTAAACTTTGTTTTTAAACAGGGGACAGTGAGGGACATATTGTTTGATTTTGACTGGTACATAAACGAAGCAAGTATGGGAAAACCCAATTGCAGTGAAGTTAAAATCTCGACTACTACGTCTACTCCTAGACACATTTTCGAGAAGAAACGGTCAGAGAATCCTCACAGAGGCACCCCCCCCCCCCCGCCCCATTTTTTTTATCCCACAAGGAATGCAGTATGTAGGATTTATATCTCAAGGATGAGAATCAAACAGGTACAAATCCGGGAAACTCTACTGAACCGCACAGTTATGTTATGACAACATAAAACAGTTACAAAATAACATGAAGTGCAGTGAAGATGTCTGTCTATTGCAGAAGCACTGTCGGGCTGTCCATTCATAAAAACAAAACAAGTCGACCAAGTTCAACCTACTGCGAGCAGTCTCGGTTATAATTGTGGTCTAATTTCTTTGTGCAAAGTGTATTGACTAAGAAGTGTTAATTGCATTAAAACGAATGGCTTGGACCGGTACTTTAGTATCTGGTGGTGGTTGCTGGAAAGGGAGCTGGTATGTACCATATTTATATATACACACACATACATATATATAGACATACATTTACAATTACATATATATACACGCAAGCGTGCACGCCCGCGTAGGAATGCATGTGTACATACCGATGTCTAAACCTGAACCGTTTGATTTGACTCTTCTCAGTTTTTTCAAGACCTGTCTAAATCAGTATTTTTTTTTATTCCAAAGAAAAGAACTCCCGATTATAGAAAATGTAATGAGCACACCGCAAGCGAAAAAAAAAAAAAATCAATGAAAGTGTCTTGAAATAAATTACATTACCAAAGATGACACACAAGGCACACAGTTGGTGTAAAAAAAGCCACCTCTCCTAAGAAATCTTCTAAAATTTGAGGGCTACAAATAAAAAGCCTCTTAGCTCCCTAAGAAGCACGCAGTAAAGGGCCATTGAATATATGTTTATACTGAAATCTGATGTGTTTGGTCGAACGGTTCAAATATAACAGCCTAGCTGTAAATACAACACAAGATGACAACCGCCCTTTTAATGGGGGAAGAAGAAGAAGAAGAAGAAGAAGAAGAAGAAGAAGAAGAAGAAGAAGAAGAAGAAGAAGAAGAAGAAGAAGAAGAAGAAGAAGGAGGAGGAGGAGGAGGAGGAGGAGGACTCGAAAGGAGGAGAAGAATGAGGACTAGGAGAAAAAGAAGATAAGAAGGAAGAGGCAAAAAATATTACGAAGGACATGAAGTAAATAAGCAGATGGCATACCTGGTTTAAAAAGAGCTATAGCCTTCACACAAGCAATCTCTGTAGCGTCCAGAGACATCTCTCGGAGCCGCAAGACCAACTCGTAGACACTGACACCTTCCTCAAGCTCGGCAGTGGACACCGCCATATCGTCTCGCTGGGCCAGGTGTTCCACTGGTAGTCCCCACTGAACTATGCCCAAAATAAAGAGTTCTTTCCAGGCCGATGCCATAAGCACTGTCTGTTTAATGTACAAAAACATATACAACATAAAATATTTGAAATTTAAAACACTGAAAACTGCGCATCAGTATTTAGAAACATCAGTCATCAGTCGTTTTACAGTTGTGGAGCTTTTGAGGAGGAGATCGGAGCACCTTTGGATCTGTCCGGAGTGCTATGATAATAATCCTTTCTAATCACTGATCACTAAACATCCAACAGGCGACAATGGAAATGAAAGAGCTGGATCCGCTATCACTACCGACGGTCAGCTTATGGATCATGCTGATATTATTAATGTCCTCAGAGAAATGGGAAGGATAGAGGACTTTGGGGGCAGTGAATCCACATCACTCGCCAGAATGGCAGACTTGGGAATTAAGATCGGCATAGCAAAAAATGAGACGCACACCAGACATACCAGAAGACTTGTTAATCAACGTAGAACTGGTACTATTAGCCATCAGACGTTGGGGATTATACTGAGGGGAGGATCTGAGCACCTATGGACATGTCCGGAGTGCAATGATGATAGCCCAAATAGCTAACTAACTAACTAACTAACTAACTAACTAACTAACTAACTAACTAACTAACTAACTAACTAACTAACACTAACTAACTAACTAACTAACTAACTAACTAACTAACTAACTAACTAACTAACTAACTAACTAACTAACTAACTAACTAACTAACTAACTAACTAACTAATCCAATATTTTACCAGACACACAAGTTGTAAAATGTATTCTTCGCTTGGAACTGGGAAATTTAAAGAGTTAATTTGTTTTGTGTGTTAGTAGTACTCGTTCCAATGGCAATATCCTCAACTTCAACATCCTTAACATCTGCCATAGAAAGATGCAATCGCTGTATGATGACATTTAACGCCACCAGGACATCACACCGAGCCATAAACACCCGGTAATACAGAAGGCTACCACTCGGATAAGGATCCCCGGCGACAGGTCCCAGAAACCCCGTTCAACCCATAGGTTGGGTTCTTTTAGGGCCCTCGGCAACAGCCAGGTTGATCCCTTTAAATAACGAAAAATACCTCCAAATGGGGACAGGGATTTGTATACAAACGCTATATAACTTTGTAGCTGAATAAAGAACAACTTACCGTAAGGATGCTGGAAGCTAAGAACTAAACAAAAATATAGGTCTAGCCCTATATGCCCAATACGCCTGAACGCGGGAAAAAGGGTCCTTTAATTTACTTGTTACTATTATTTCATAAACAATCCCTCCACCCTTAGAAATTGTATAAAGGGACTAAGGTCTCGTCCAATTTTGCTGTTGTTGTTTTGTTTGAGCTGTCAACCCTGGCTTAATTTATAAAGAAAGTAAAGTCAATGACACTTTTCTACGATTACCAGCGTATTGGGTTCATAGGGCTATATCTATATTTTATCGTCCGATTGGCACTTGGTGGGTGATTTGGCACTCATCAAGTCGACAGCTTTTACTTCCCATAACTTCAAATGGCTGGGTCAAACACAAACAAGTCTGGCTTTGTAAGTTGCCAAACCCACGACCTTTGGATCTGAACCACGACGTTAGGATACTGAAAGATATGCAAATTGGCTAGGCTCCAAAAGGACTGCTTTTTCTTCTAGAAATTAAGTGGCTTAACTAAAACAAAAGTTAGTGTGCTTTAAAGCTTTTTTTTTAAAATATATATAGGGGGGTCCTGTTCACGTTTCTCGGCCAATCGACAAACTTTCTCAGTCTGGTCTAGGTCAGAGGGGTGTCAAGTTGGACTGTTTTCCTCGAAAAGAGTCTCCCGTGCGATCTAGGCTCAGGCTGTGGGTAAGGGGGTGGGGGTGGTGGTGGGTTAGGGCCAGTTCTAGATGGTCTAGAGTCGTTAAAAGCTGTGTCGTCGTGTAGTAAAGAAGACGCGACATCGGCGCTATAGTAACCGGAGGCAGGACAACGTGATACCTCCCCCCCCCTTTTTTTTCTGACTTTGAACAGTCTGAGAAAGCTTGAATGAAAGGACAGACAGTGTGTAGATTTGCTGGGAAACGTGAATAGGACTGAAAGGTATCAACAACCACACAACAATACAAGCACACAGCACACGGACCTGATCAGACGAACTGAGACTGATGAATGCTGGGATGTGCCTCACCCAGGTAACGACCGTAAACAAAAGTCTGGCCATGACTTCCTGCAGCAAGTCCTGGTGGAATGACGTCACAATGGGAGGGGCTATTGGGGTAGTGAATGCAGAAGGTCCTTGCTGAAAATACAAATGGGAGTTATGATTAATTAGAATCATTAGCGGGGGCTAAGTAAAGTAAAGAACCCTTTTCCATGCATATAGGGCTAGCCATTTATAATATAGACCAATCGACACTCGGTGGGTGATGTGGTGCGCATCACGCAGGTTGTCTTTACTTCCCACGACTTTCATCTGGTACTCACTCGAGGCTGGGTCGACCTGGGAGCCAAGGTCATTTTTGAAAAAAAAGTCTGACTCCGTCAGGATCCGAACCCACGACCTTCCGATCCGCACGCGAGGGTCTTGACGTTACACGACATCTACTCTTAAAAGTGTGCGGGTGGGGGAGGAGGGGTGTCGGGGACGGAGGTTTACGAAACAAACAAGAAACATTGGAGTGGGGGTAGGGGGAAGCTCTGACTCTTACACATATTCTACTGAGAGAGAGAGGGGGGGCGGGGGGGGGATGCTCAAATCACGCACGACTTCTTTAAGTGCGTAACAAAAAAAATATCAATAATAAGTGCGGGGATGTTATGTGGTCTGTAAGGTCCTTAAAAATGTGCAACTAACTTTCAATATAAGATCTAGTGAATGAATTCCCCGTGTGGGTTCCAAGGCCCCATTTTACGGGGGGTGGGGGGGGGGGGTGAACAGACCCACTGCCTTCCTAACAAGCGTTTCGTAAATGACGGCTAATCATTTGTTTGCTGAATGAATGTACCCTAGACAGGTTTTGACTAAATAATCTGTTAGAATCACTGTGGGGATTCCCCCCCCCTTTTTTTTTTTCATCCCCCCCCCTCCCCTCCCCCCCCCCCCCCCCCCCCCATGTGAGTTTCAGGGTTCCATTTTGAAGAATAAAGAATAGACAAACTTCCCATAAAAAGCATGTCGTAGGAGACGATTAATAAGTAGTACTTTCTTGCTAAGTCTGAGTACATCTGCCTAAGAGGCAAGGAACCAACAGTCTGCATACGAATAAGTTAGATCAGTAATACATGTGTTCTTAAAACTCAAGTTCTGGATCAAGAACAAAACAAGAACAGATCCACGGCCTTCCCATCGAGGATATCGTGAGAATCAGCTAACTGGGGACTTCCTTCGAAGTCGGAGTGCATTTGCAAGAAACAATAGACTGCACACAAAAAAGCCAGTAAAACTAATGTACACGCAAAACTCAAACCCTGACACAAAGCTTAAGTCCAAATAGACGAAAAAACCAGGACTTTTCGCTGGAGCTTACAGCCAGTGGACAGAGAAGAAGTGAAAAAGAGAAAGAAGAAGAAGAAGAAGAAGAAGAAAAAGAAGAAGAAGAAGAAGAAGAAGAAGAAGAAGAAGAAGAAGAAGAAGAAGAAGAAGAAGAAGAAGAAGAAGAAGAAGAAGAAGAAGAAGAAGAAGAAGAAGAAGAAGAAGAAGAAGAAGAAAAGAAGAAAGAAGAAGAAGAAGAAGAAGAAGAAAGAAGAAGAAGAAGAAGAAGAAGAAGAAGAAGAAGAAGAAGAAGAGAAGAAGAAAGAAAAGAAGAAAGAAGAAGAAGAAGAAGAAGAAAGAAGAAGAAAAAGAAGAAGAAGAAGAAAAAGAAGAAGAAGAAGAAGAAGAAGAAGAAGAAGAAAGAAGAAGAAGAAGAAGAAGAAGAAGAAGAAGAAGAAGAAGAGAAGAAAGAATGAAGAAGAAGAAGAAGAAGTAAGAAGAAGAAGTCTTAAGAATAAGAAGAAGAAGAAGAAGAAGAAGAAGAGCAGCAGCAACAGCATCAGAAGCAGTATAGGGTCTTATGAATAATGTGTTAAGAGTTCACTTAAAGATCTATAGACGAGGCCTAGCTGATAATGTTTCAATAGCATTTGTAAATGAAGAAGTAAATGATAGCAACTTACATGAACCCGCATGATGTCATTGAAGCGGTTGACATAGCCCAACATCAGCATCTGTGATTCGGGCAGGATGTGCGATGTGGCCATGGCGATGTCGTGTTGGTATCGTAGAGGGAGAAGGCCGCAAGGGTTGCCCACACTGACACTCAGGTCAATGGGATGATCTTGGGAGCTATGTCCGGTAGGGTCAACCATTAGCGACCCGGACAGGTCTCCGGGTTTGGGTTTGGGTTTTCGTGGCCCTCGCTCGTGCTGGACAGCTGGTCAAGAAAAGAGTTTAAATAATATTTTGTCCTAAAATCATTAAAATTAAAATTGCTTGTTTAATATCTTACTCCAGATGACGTCACACGACAGTCCAACATTTTAGAGGGTGGTAAGACTGGGTTTCCCGGCTTTTTGATGCTTTTAACGACCCCAAATCATTTAGAACTGGTCATACGTGCCACTAGCGAGTACAGCCTAGGTCCCATGAATGCATGCGGCCTATGTCCCACGACTGTGTGCAGTCTATCTACCACCCCCTGAAATCAGACTGTCCCGTGACCTGTGGATTTCCCCTGTTTGGGGTGGGTTATTAATAAAACACCATTCAAATTTTGTTTTAAACTATGGAGTTGCGGTAGATATCGGCAGGGTGCACGCCTGCCCGCTTGAAGGTGTTTGGTTCGAAGATGCATCTAGATCGAATTTATTGTTTAAATCGAACTTGACCTCCAGGGCGACCCAGCTTCAAATGGGTACGAAGTAATGTCTTGGGAAGTAAAGGACGCCGGTTGGATGTTGACCACATCACTAATCTAATGACGATTGGTCTATGAAATATGAGTCTAGTATCAAATGACAGATGCTCAATTGCGTAAAAAACGGCCCTTTGCATAGAAAGAGAATCAAAGATACTTTACTGGCTTGACTGGCTGATAGATAGACACATATACTGATAGACAGACACATATACTGACGGACAGACAGATAGGTGTACTAAGGAACAGACATGCAGCAGATGGATAAATGAGGGAATTCGACGCAAGATGGGCGGACAAAGTGTCAAACATACAGGTAGATGGCTGGAGGAACAGATAGATGGGAAAAATAGACAAACAGAGCATCAGACACATGGACTAACGGGGGGACAGACTTACGAATATGCAAACAGAAGATCTGATATACAGCCACACGCAGATGGGCAGAGAGACAGACAGATGGATGGATGGACAGGCAGTAACCCCCCACCCCCACCCCCCCCCCCCCCCCAAATAAAAAAACCTGCCATGACTAAACATGGTTATTTACCTTCTTTATTCATGTCTGCCTCGAAACACTTGTTGAGTCTGCAGGCCCGACATTGGTTTCTGTGTGTCTTGTCAACCGGACATCTCCCCTTGAGTGGACCCTGGGCTTTACACGTGTATGCCCTGTTCTTGTGGATGCTTCTCTTGAAGAACCCAGAGCAGCCTTTTGTTATAGAAAAGAAATATACGATGTCTTACTTAAGATGACATACATAAGTTGTGTAGAGAAAGACTGAGGACCGATACAAGTTTTAACTTCTTCTTTAGTATTCCAAGATCATTGATGCTCTTTACTGCAAATGTCACCCGCCTCCATTCAGCTCTATATTTAGCCTTCTCTTTCCTGTTAATGAATCCAAGTGTTTGTCGGTCTGCCTCTATAGTATCTCTCCACTGGGTTCTGTGTCCATCTCGTAGTCTACTCCATTCAACTTTTTAATATAAGAAATTATCGTGTCTCTGTTTTCTGCCATTCTCACTGTAGGAACCAATAATTTCAGTCTATAAGCACCCTTGATACCACAAAAAGCGACTGAAACAGACTATGAACTTCGTTGTTGCTGCTTCTCACTCTCCATTCCCCGTTGTCTGCACCTGTGATCTGTCCAGAGAGTCGACGTAAGGTTGTTCTCGAAAGTTTCTAATAGTCATACAGACAAGTGGTCTTTATATATATATATATATACAGGGTTATTAAAAATGATGATATGCATTACAAATGAATAATATACATACAAGAGAGACCTCCGGTCTAAAATGGAAGACTAGGCACGGCAGAATGTTAAGCTTCGAAGTTATTTTTGGTTTCCGACAGCGCTTTGCTAATGCAGTTTCCACATATGGACGGTAGTCTACGGTTTCGCTTCTTAAGCTACTGAGTTTAGTGCTTGGTGTAGCCATGTAAGCTGGCTTGTTTTATGTGAAGGGCCTTTCATCTGTGCAACGGGTAAGTCGTGATATTTAAAATGGCCAGTAGCCGGTTACTGTGGGCTGGGAGAATACCTTATATAATAATTTATCGTGCCTGACTACTTCCATCAACAACAAACTGTATTTTTGGTGGCGACTGTTGTCTTTGGCGCCTCCAGCAACTGTCATATGCATTTAATGAGCGCACATATTTCTAAACTGTGCCAGGATTAGTTGCTTGTTTACCAGTTTTTTTTTTTTTTTTTTTCATTTTTGATTTTTAGTTTGTGGTCGATTGCAATAAGTTGAAACCTCTATCAAGAGTGAGACTAGAAACAGAAGAATGCTTGGAATACACTGGCTAGAGCGCCAAAAGAGCAACCAAAGAGGTTTTGAAAGAGACGTTCGAGTAAAAGAGCCCGAAGACAACTTATCACAGACATCAGAAGGAGAGACAGTCATCATTTTTCGGCCATGTTATGATGAGAGAGGGAAAATAGAATAAGGTTGTGACCACTGGAAAGATCTGTGGAAGGAGGGATAGATATATATAGGATAGATAACGAGGAAAAGATGCTTGACAGTACACTTGTTGCATGGCATCACCACACAGGTGTGTCGGCACACGAACTGATACATGCTGCAGGAGATCGCAGATTGTGGGGAGACATCATCGCCCACGCCAGTCGGCAAGGCACCTGGTGATGATGATGATGTATTCGTCCTTTAAAAAGAAAAACGATTGCCAAGTTGTGTTGCGGTGTACAGTAAGGCTGTGATTTCAGCGCCTTTTAGGTCAGTACATTTCAATTTTTAGTAAACCAATTAGTCGCCTTTTGGAACATGCTTGTTTGAGGGCAGTTGCAAAATCCCCCCCCCCCCCCCCCCTCCCCCTTTATGGCCCCGCAGAACCAACACGGAGAATTCAAAAAGTAAGTTGCTAAATCAGGATTTTTGAACTTTTTTTTTCCTGTTTTCAATTTACCGTTGGATGTTTATGGCAACATTCGTAATCTACAGCCAATTTATAAACTTAGGAATTTATTGGTCAAACCTTTAACTGCGATTACCTTGGTAAAGCTCTGTAGTTTAAAGGTTAGCCTTTAACAATTTCATGGTCACAGACTAGGGTTCAATCCCATGGCAAACGTTTAGGTAACAAACAAAAAAAAAAAAAAAAAAACACACGCTCTGGTGGTTTTTGGACTACTATGAGAGTAGTAGCACCGGAAATGACTTTGCACATCACCAGACAATAATTTCAAAGACAGCAAGGGATGTAGCGTAACCAACCTTCACTGCGTAGACACACTTTAATTATTTATTTATTTATTGCAGTTTCAGGCCAAACAATTTCGCGGGCCTTATACGACCCACAGGCCAGACTTTGCCTGCCCTAACTCTAACCTCTAGTAGAAAACATTACCAACCGGAAACTTACCATCACAGCTGTATATCCCATAATGCTTTCCGGAACTGCGGTCACCACAGACCTTACAGGGAATATCCAACAAACGGTCGCCTGCAGGAAAGACACAAGACATGAATCATATCAGACTGTCTTGAATTTTAGACACATCATCATCCTCATCATCAGATCATCATGTACCGCGCCAGTAAGCGTAGGCTGTGATGTTTTACTATCTCACACGATCACCAGAATCACAGATCAGTTCAATGTTTTTGACTCGCCTCATCCGTCTGGCGAAGCTATCCAAGTATTTTTCTCTTTGCCTTCCTCTTGCTCTCTTTCACTCAATCTTCCCAATTGTTACCGAGTGCTTGAGTTCATTTCTTTTCATAATATGCCCCCCCCCCCCCCCGCCAAAAAAAAAAACACCTTGATTTTTATTGATTGAAACATTGATTTAAGTTGAGTTGAGCTGAGTAAAGAATTGACATCACAGCACTAGGAGCATTTCCATGCGTGCTCTGTACTCATCTTCAGCAGCCAGCGCAAAGTTTCAATACTGATGGTACCTGTCCCAATCTGGTTTTATATGTCCTTCTTGTCTTTCCTCTGGGGGTAGTGAGCCGGCCAGACCCTCTGATTACACCCAGATGCCTCATTCTCTCTAGGCTATAATAATCTTGTTTCTCTACCGAATCCGTTGCTTGTTTCCAAAGGGCCTTGACCACATCTGAATTGTCATGTATCAGTTCACCACCCAGTGGTGCAGATCCAGCCAATCTGTCTGCCTGTTCATAATCCACTACACCGGGAAGGTCTGGAGAAAAGATCCAAAGTATGCTCATTACCTGTGACTTTCCCAGTGAAGCTTGCCACTAAGCTCGAAGCATTGATTTCATGGTATATCATCTCTGTACACATGAAGAGCACTATACGCTTCATACTGCTCAGAAAGCAAGGATAAACTTTCTTTCTACATCCCAGTCATTGTTAATCTCTTTTTCTCTATCCGGTTTATCCATAACCTCTGATTATGATTATCGTTGTTTTCCTGAAATACGACTTGTTTTGTATATCTGCATGAAGAGATAGATTAGAAGAAGCAAAAATGTACGATGAATGAAGATGTCAGACAACTGGCGTTGGAGACATCACAGGGGATTTTCGCTGCGGAGATGACACTTACTGATTGGATTACAATAGAAATCCTAAACTGTGATAGGTCACAATTTGGTCATGTTCAGCAGTGTATTGCTCATGCGAGGTCATGCAACTTTTCAAAAGCAGTGTCTTCTTATTCTTCTTCTTCTGCGTTCATCCAAAGACGTAGATGGTTTGTGCCCGTTTACAACATGGCTGCGATGTTTGCGTCTTTCGGCCGACACATCCGACTTCTGCAGGCATTTGATGTCCGGGTTAGTCTTCCCGGTACACACAGTTTTAAATTTACACAAAAATGCATGGCTTGTTTTCAAAGAAGCTGAGAGGAGACTAAAAGCCACTTTTGGAATCGAACCCCGACCATCTGTGATGATAAACCAGCATGACTTAAGCCATACTGGAAATCACCACGTACACTTCAACACAGGTCCAAAAAAAAAAAAAATAATAAATTCACTTCCATTCACCTGCCCCCCTTAGTTTTCTTCTGATCTTTTATGTCTCTGTCTCTGTCAGCTATCTCCAATCTCAACCACGTAATTAGAGCCAAAGATCGAAGTAGAAGACAGGAAATCAAATAAATGAAACAAGATTTTCTACTTGAAAACTCCATGACGTTTCCCGTGTCAACAGTCTTGCATTCAACCTTCAAAGTCTGTCTCTCGTTTTTCTCTCCCGCATCTGCTCTCGAAGCCGCCTCGGTTGAAAACATCAGTGTTTTCTCTTGACCCTCTTGAAAAAGTTATTAGCGAGGATATGTCATTTTTGCCTCACAGATCTGCAAGTTTTGTCTTAAAATGTCCGCTCGGTAACGGCTCGTAAATGTGGTGGTTGTGTATCGTGTCTCTCGGAGTTTGCCGAGTGACAGGATGAGCGGACAGCTTGTAGCTCGAGGGCCGGACCTTTGTTGGGCTGATGGAAGAGCTTGGCATACTTCTTGGAGTCAAGCTTACATAATGGGCTGACATTTGCGTGGCGTTTTCTATAATGTGAAAATTTGTTATGAAACGATCCTTTTCTTTCTCTATTATTTTTTTCTTAAGAATATAATCGTTGTCATCATCATCATCATCATCCATCATCATCATCCATCATCATCCTCCATCATCATCATCATCATCATAATCATCATCATCCAACATCATCATCCATCATCATAATCATCATCGATAATCCTTATCATGAATTAAGAAACTATTATGCCAGTATCAACATTATAGATAAGGACAATTTTTCTTCTTCTTCTTCTTCTTCTTCTTCTTCTTCTTCTTCTTCTTCTTCTTCTTCTTCTTCTTCTTCTTCTTCTTCTTCTTCTTCTTCTTCTTCTTCTTCTTCTTCTTCTTCTTCTTCTTCTCCTTCTTCTTCTTCTTCTTCTTCTTCATCTTCTTCTTCCTATTATTACTATTATTATTATTATTATTATTATAATTATTATTATTATTCTCCTTCTTTTCCTGCTCCTTCTTCTTCACCTCCCTCTGCTTCTTCTTCTCCCTCCTCCTCCGCCTTCTCCTCTCTTCCTCTAGTTTGCCCATCTGTTTGTACACCAAAGTCCGATCGTCGTTAACCCGAATATGGGAGACGTGTGACTCATTGGACTTCGTTTAAGTGTGTAATAATAATGCAACTTTGAGTATCATTACTGCGTTATTTTAGAATAACAGAGTCAAAACAACACTCGTTTAGTACTGAACGAGCAAATACTGAAATTCGCTTGCACAAATGCGAAAATAACGAAGTGTACATACTTTACTAGATTACAATAACGCGAATTTTTTTGAATATCTTCACATAAGCACCTCCCTTTCAGGCCAGCATATTTCCATCAATCCTCTTCTGCACTTCGTATCTCTCCTTATGCTCAACTGACCAGGCAAGGGTACAGATAATTACGTAACGATCGGTCCCCGGCGAGAGAATGACAAAATTCCCTCTTCAGATCGAAAGAATAACAACTTGAACAACTTCCACTCGAAGCAGACGACAACTTTTTAACTTGCCCCGCCACAATGGCTGTGGCATTCACAGAGAGGTGCGCACCAATGATTTCTTGTCACGTATACACATTTTTTCCCCCATCGTGTTTTCCCCGTCCCTTCTTTACATTTCCCCCTTCCTGATTTTTCAATCTTCCTAAACAAGCTCCTCTGGCACATTTATGTCGCTTCAGCTGTGGCAACGTCAGCGGAAATAAGAAGGAAAACCGCGGGAAGTTGAGATTTCAACACTCTCATAGCGACGCCATCTGGAAAATGGCCCTTCTAAAATGGGTAATTTTGTAATTTTCTGGTGTCGCCATTGCTCAAGCTCAGCCAAAGAATGAAGGACATATACAACTAGGAGGACACAAGTGCTCAACAACATTGTCACTGGCACTTTCTGTCATGTCCTTCTTGATAAAAAGGAGCTTTCCTCTCCAATACCTCCAGGCCAAAGTGCGGATATAATTGAAGGATATTCAATAGGTCATTATGCTTCTTCTTCTTCTTCTTCGTCGATTATTCATTCTATACATTAGTGCTTCCTTCGTGGAAGTTTAATGAATGCCACTGCATTAATTTCGAATCTTCATTTTCGTTACATGCCTTTTTTTCCTTTAATATAAATATCTTTAGTCTACATGCTTCTCTCTCAAACATATTTTTTTTAACGAAATCACTACCTTTTCTCCTTCTCCTTCTTCTTCTTCTTTTTCTTCTTCTTCTTCTTCTTCTTCTTCTTCTTCTTCTTCTTCTTCTTCTTCTTCTTCTTCTCCTTTCTTCTTCTTCTTCTTCTTCTTCTTCTTTCTTCTTCTTCTTCTTCTTCTTTCTTCTTCTTCTTCTTCTTTTTTCTTCTTCTTCTTCTTCTTCTTCTTCTTCTTTTCTTCTTCTTCTTCTTCTTCTTTCTTCTTCTTCTTCTTCTTCTTCTGTTTCTTCTTCTTCTTCTTCTTCTTCTTCTTCTTCTTCTTCTTGATTCATTTTCTTCTTCTTCTTCTTCTTCTTCTTCTTCTTCTTCTTCTTTTCTTCTTCTTCTTTCTTCTTCTTCTTCTTCTTCTTCTTCTTCTTCTTCTTCTTTTCTTCTTCTTCTTCTTCTTCGTCTTTCTTCTTCTTCTTCTTTCTTTCTTCTGTCTTCTTCTTCTTCTTCTTCTTCTTCTTCTTCTTCTTCTTCTGGCTTTCTTCTTCTTCTTCTTCTTCTTCTTCTTCTTCTTCTTCTTCTTCTTCTTCTTCTTCTTCTTCTTCTTCTTCTTCTTCTTCTTCTTCTAACACTATGTTTTCTGATTAAACCCAATGTATTTTGAATGTTATGACTTTCGAAGAAAGATCTGAACAAGATTGCTGGGCCATTTGAATGTTCTGTTAGTGTCATTTTCTTTGTGGATATTCTCTCCGGATGTTGTTCTGTCGGCATGTTATCATATCAGCAGGTTGTTTTATCTGGTACGTTGTTTTAATCGGACGTTGTTCTATCTATCGTCTATTCTGTGACTCTAGGTAATCAATCTCTTAAGAAAGAAATAAAAAACACACTAGTCATGTATTCTTTGCAGAGGACTTTGCAGAAGTAAGGCCTTTGGTTGTGTGGGGTTTTGATAATTTTTGTTTTCAGCAATTTTACACTGTCCCCTGTACAGTCGCTGCTGCTTCACATTATTGTTCAAATGAGTAAAACGTGGTTACGTGGACAGGGTATTTAGGAATTACGAAGCGTGTTTTTCTTTCGCATTTTAGCCTAAGTTGACTAGGGAGCCAAGGTCAAGTTAGCCGTGGTGGGTGGGGGGGGAGGGGGGAGGGGAGATTCCGTTTACATGAAGAGACGGCCAGGCAGGCAGGTGTGGTGTCTGTGCATCACGATACAAGGCTAGGGTATTCTGAATAAACTATTCGGAGCTTCAGTTGAAAGATAAATAAGTATCACTTACTTATAAGTCTGTTTTACTATTACTTTGTCCTAGTCGTGTACCTACTATTTTAAAGCAGTGATTTCAGAGTTAGTGAATATTTGAATGTTTTGCATTATGTTTATCATGGTTGTTTGCTGGTGAAGGCTAATCGCCGCAACATCCTATGTTTTTTTTCATTGTAACAAATTTTGTACAGCTGACATAAACTATTTGGTTTTTTTCCTAACCTTTTTTATTTCTCTTGTTATCCCCAATTTTTTTCTGACTTTTTTTTTCTTCATCATCTTTTCCCTAATATTAGCTATCTTTTTTTTTTTTTTTCTATATTTTTTTTAAACTAGATCATTCGATCAGAAGCAAGCCTTTTGTGGGGACTAACGATCAAATGGTTTGGTCATATAATTAGAATGCAGCCAGATCAACTACCAAAACACCCGCTACATGTGAAAAGATCTGAAGTGATAGTAAAAGGTCGCTCTGGGAGAATTTGAATTAATGGCATTAAAGAGATTATACGTCGACACAAATGAAAATAATCATTGCTACCCATCACACAATGGATCGCAAACTGTTCCTCCCCACGTCGCTTAACGGCAAAGGTGAAAATTGATGAGGGTGAACGATTGGACTCGTTATACATTTGAACGCAAACAACGGAAAAGTCTCTTGAATCAGCTACTGTTAAACTTATAAGTCCTTTGCAGCAGTTTTGTTATTTACCTTTAAACAGTTCTAATAATTTTGTGACAGTGGTACGAGAATCATACCGTAGAAGAGAATGAGACCTCATCGCATAATATTTCCAAAGACTGAGTAAGATTAGCAAAATTCACTGTGGAGGACACACCGCTTTTTCATCGGACATCGCTGCTCTGAGTGCTGTTACAAATAACTTTATTAAACATTCCCATCCCTGCTCAGTCCTGCGATGTAGCAGCCATCCTAAAGTACCTGTAGTGATTGTTCTCTTTAAAAGTTGGTTTTACTATCTCTTATCTTGAGGAGAAAGAGAGTCGTTAAAAGATATATAAACCTCATCTTGATATATGGAAGTTAATCATGGGTAATTGGTAGATTAGTGAAAACTTTTTGGAAACTTTGAAGACATAGTTTTATAAGATAGTTTTGAGAATCCACAGTAAAGATAGAAAGAGTAAAGAAGATGTCTTGAAAGAAACTGACTCACGAAGAGAACTGATTGCCCACATCAGAAAGAGACAATCTGTATTCTTTGGTCATGTGATGAGATGGAGAAAATTTGAGAACATCGTGACAGTAGAAAAGCTGGATGGGAAGAGAGGCAGAGGGAGACAGAGAGAAAAGATGTAAGACCAGTCCATGTAAAGAAAGTCTACGACAGTAAGAGCAGGGGATTTCAGGAACATTGTTCCAGGACTCAGATGCTCAGCTCTCTTTAGTATATCAAAAAACATTTCCGCCCCTTTACTCCCATTAAGGTCCCGATTTTTCCCTTTCACGCAACACGGTCTGTAGCTTTTTGTTCCCACAAATCTACCTCAGTATCTGTATCATTCATGTCTCGATGACACATCTTTTAATCAAAGCAAAGTTCAGTCTGGGCATACCCTACATACTACAGTTTTATTCTGCAAATTAGAATATTTTATTACCGGGGTTTCCCTGAAAGTTAGCTTGAACCCAAAAAGGCCCTAGCATAGTGGTTCTCAAACTTTCTAGTGCCGCGACCCTTTATCACAGTTCCTCATGTTGTGGCGACCCTTTATCACAGTTCCTCATGTTGTGGCGACCCTTTATCACAGTTCCTCATGTTGTGGCGACCCTTTATCACAGTTCCTTCTGTTGTGGCGACCCTTTATCACAGTTCCTTATGTTGTGGCGACCCTTTATCACAGTTCCTCATGTTGTGGCGACCCTTTATCACAGTTCCTCATGTTTTGGCGACTCTTTATCACAGTTCCTCATGTTGTGGCGACCCTTTATCACATTTCCTCATGTTGTGGCGACCCTTTATCACAGTTCCTCATGTTGTGGCGACCCTTTATCACAGTTCCTTATGTTGTCGCGACCCATTATCACAGTTCCTCATGTTGTGGCAACCCTTTATCACAGTTCCTTATGTTGTGGCGACCATTTATCACAGTTCCTCATGTTGTGGCGACCCTTTATCACAGTTCCTCATGTTGTGGCGACTCTTTATCACAGTTCCTCATGTTGTGGCGACCCTTTATCACAGTTCCTCATGTTGTGGCGACCCTTTATCACAGTTCCTCGTGTTGTGGCGAGCCCTAATCAAACACTTATTTTTGTCGCTACTTCATAACCTCAATGAATATTTATTTTACGATGGTCTTTGATGACACCTGCCACATGTGAAAGGGTTATTCGCCACCCAAAAAGGGTCGCGACCTTTGACTTGAGAAGCGCTGCCCTAGCATGATTGTTCTGCAGGCTTTACCGTGTGGGCTCCGGGTGTCCCACTGTGGGAGAACAAAAATAGACTCATTACATCTCCAACAAGCATGTCGTAAGAGTCCACTACCTGGGTGCTTCCTTCGAAGTCACAGTGCATCTGCCTGAGAGGCAGGAAACCAACAGTCTGCATATAGACAAGCTAGATCTGTAAAATGTATGTGCACTTGGGTTCTGGGAACCAGACTTAAGTGTAGAGGTAGAGAGCAACCAGAAACATCCGCCGCAGCTTACAGTCGGTGAACACGAAGAAGAGGAAGTTCGATAGGCTAGCAATATAAAGTTCGACAGGCTAGCAATGTAAAGTTCGACAGGCTAGCAATGTAAAGTTCGACAGGCTAGCAATATAAAGTTCGACAGGCTAGCAATGTAAAGTTCGACAGGGCTCGACAGGCTAGCAATGTAAAGTTTCGACAGGCTAGCAAGTTATAAGTTCGATAGCGTAAAGTTAGGCTATCAATGTAAAGTTCGACAGGCTAGCAATATAAAGTAAAGTTCGACAGGCAATGTAGTTCGAAGGCTAGCATGTAAAGTTCGACAGGCTAGCAATGTAAAGTTCGACAGGCTAGCAATGTAAAGTTCGACAGGCTAGCAATGTAAAGCTTCGTAACAGGCTAGCAAGTTCGACAGGCTAGCATGTAAAGTTCGACAGGCTAGCAATGTAAAGTTCGACAGGCTAGCAATGTAAAGTTCGACAGGCTAGCAATGTAAAGTTCGACAGGCTAGCAATATAAAGTTCGACAGGCTAGCAATGTAAAGTTCGACAGGCTAGCAATGTAAAGTTCGACAGGCTAGCAATGTAAAGTTCGACAGGCTAGCAATGTAAAGTTCGACAGGCTAGCAATGTAAAGTTCGACAGGCTAGCAATGTAAAGTTAGGCTAGCAAGTTCGACAGGCTAGCAATGTAAAGTTCGACAGGCTAGCAATGTAAAGTTCGACAGGCTAGCAATATAAAGCAATGTAAAGTTCGACAGGCTAGCAATAGCATAAAGTTCGACAGGCTAGCAATGTAAAGTTCGACAGGCTAGCAATGTAAAGTTCGATAGGCTAGCAATGTAAAGTTCGACAGGCTAGCAATGTAAAGTTCGACGACAGGCTAGCAATGTAAAGTTCGACAGGCTAGCAATGTAAAGTTCGACAGGCTAGCAATGTAGCAATGTAAAGTTCGACAGGCTAAGCAATGTAAAGTTCGACAGGCTAGCAATGTAAAGTTCGACAGGCTAGCAATGTAAAGTTAGCTAGCAATGTAAAAAAGTTCGACAGGCTAGCAATGTAAAGTTCGACAGGCTAGCAAGTTCGACAGGCTAGCAATGTAAAGTTCGACAGGCTAGCAATGTAAAGTTCGACAGGCTAGCAATGTAAAGTTCGACAGGCTAGCAATGTAAAGTTCGACAGGCTAGCAATGTAAAGTTCGACAGGCTAGCAATGTAAAGTTCGACAGGCTAGCAATGTAAAGTTCGACAGGCTAGCAATGTCGACAGGCTAGCATGTAAAGTTCGACAGGCTAGCAATGTAAAGTTCGACAGGCTAGCAATGTAAAGTTCGACAGGCTAGCAATGTAAAGTTCGACAGGCTAGCAATGTAAAGTTCGACAGGCTAGCAATGTAAAGTTCGACAGGCTAGCAATGTGAGCCAAAACAAACATGTAAGTCCTAATTAGGATGATTATGTTTATTTAACGGATCAACATCATGGCAGAAAAGTAGTAACTTGTAAGTGCCCCGTTCTACTTCAAACTCAAGCCTGATTCTGAAGAATCTCATTGCAGTGCACGAACTCTGTACTTTGGGTAGATTTCAGCGTCTTTTGGCTACTGTTTTTAGATTTCCAACTGCCAAGGGATTTTTTTTTACCTGCGCAACAAAACACACGGGCGTCCGGTCTTACTACCCAGAGACCAGGGGAAATGACTAGCAGTCCACGTGATAAAGTCCTAGCCTTCACCGGGGCTTTAACCCGGGACCTCCAGCACTCGAAGCGGACGCCATGCCTCGAGACCACGCAGCCGGAAAAAGACTTCACTGAGAGTGCTACAAACAGCCCAGATGACTGACTGACTTTCTACTCCACCAGGACATCACACAAGCGATAAACACCAGATGACACAAAGTGCCACAATGTGGATGAGGATCGCCGTGGAGAGGTCCCAGAAACCGCGTTCAGACATTTGGCCATATTGATGGCCTGCCTATATTGCGGCCCCTAGCAAAAGCCAGGGTGGAGCTTCACAAACAAAAAATGTCATCTTGAAAAGGACGATAGAGATAAAACGGCCCAGCTTATCAGCTCCGGTAACTGTCAACTCCTAGTGAACCAAAGAAAACAGTTAATGAAACGAACCCAACGCTTTCCGAGAGGAGCTAAACAGCTTAATGACTCAACCACGCAGATCACCTTATGGCGTTATCGAACACAAAATAGAAAGATATCTTCACAAACACAAAGGAAGACACAGACTCAAACGCTTTAGCACCCCCCCCCCTCCCCCCCCCCCCCGCCCCCCCCTCCCAAATGTAAAAAATAAAAACTGTAGTTACTTCCCGCTCCCACCCCTTTTAGAAAGAAAAATTATAATCAGATTAAGTCCCCTTCTCTCTTTCCATCAAAGTTTATCTGTTTTTTAGTGCTTTGATTATACATTTCATATTATTTCAAAATTATTAGGCTAACTTGCCATTTAGCACTATATATATATATATATATATATATATATATATATATATATATATATATATATATATATATATATATATATTATTACACACTTTAGAAACACGTATGGCCCCCTTCCCCGCCCCCACCGGCCCTTTTCCCCTCCTGAAAATCTATAACATGATGAGCCCTTTACCCCTCCCCCTTCCCCACTCCAACTTTCCTTCTGCCCTATTAACTCCATACCATCTGAAATGTCTGAGAACCATCATTGACAAATCATGCATTGATCCTCCGCCCCATATTGTAATGACTAGAACCATCAGCTGGTAGAAGAAGAAGAAGAAAAAAAAAACCAAGCCAGGCTGTTTTTATTCCCATAGCCGAGAGGTGGGCTTTGAAGTCCCGTGGGAACCATCGCCTGTAAGAGCCACCTGCTGTGAAACTACTAGCCTGAAATTGTCGATGTATTATTATGAAAAATGACTGGGCATTGATGCCCTTCGCAGACGGATATTTCTGTCATCTTCGCGCCAAAAAATCCGGCGAAAAGCCGGCACTTTCTTGACTTCGCAACGCGGCATGGGGTATCGATGATGTGACAGCTCTATAAACAGATCGTTTGTTTAGAGCTGGATAAAAGTGCTGTTTTGCAACAGAAATTGTCGATGTTCACACTGACGTTTTAATTAACATCTTCACACGCACAGGCACAATTTTTTTATGAAGTCTTTCTTGTCGATCACACGGATTTATAGAGTAATTTCCTGTATGAAGTGGTTATAATTGAGTTTCATTATTGTCAGTCGGCCCGAAGGTTTACGGTTTTTTCTTCCTCTTTTTCTTAACCTTTACTGACTGTAAAACCCAGTGAAAGGTTCTGGTGGTTCATCCACTTCTGGATCCTGGTCCTGTTCCAGAACTTCAGTTTTGCGTGCACATCCGTTTTATAGATCTGCATTATTTGTATGCAGACTGTTGGTTCCTTGCCTCTTAGGCTGATCCACTCCGACTTTGAAGGAAACTTCCCTAATTAGTCGCCTTTGACAAGATGCTTTTTGTTTGGAGGGGGAGAAGGGGAGGGGAATTGATTCATGTTCTCCAGAATGGAGCCCAGCAACCCACATGGAAAGGTTTAAATCGGTACCTACGTAGTGGGTTATTTGGTCGCTCGGTCGCCTTTATTTCTCAGGACTTTACCTGGTACTCATTTACGACTGGGTCGACGTGGGAGCCAAGGTCTTTTTTTTTTTAAAAATATTCGGCTTCAGTATGTTCCGAACCTACGACCTTCAGATCCGCAGGCGAGCGTATAGCCGCTACACCACGGGAGCTACTCTTCGCTCTTTAGATGTGCTATTTATTTTAACAAGAAATATCTGCTCCAGCATTTCATCACGAAAGATTAACACCCCTCCCCCCCCCCTTTTTTTTTTCCACAGTAACTCAACAAGTGACTATTGCTGCAGTGGACACCAGTTTTTTTTTTAATTTGTGTACGGTAATCATCAGTGAGAAGCAAAGAATGAAATGGTTTGGTCACCTAGTGAGAATGGAACCAACGATGCCAGCATCAAGAGCATACAACATGGAAAACGAAACACTAAGAGGCAGGGGAAGACCAAGAAGAATATGGATTGAAGGAGTCACGGACAACTTGAGACTTCATAACATCACGGCATATGAAGCGACTGAGCGCGCCGTGGCTCGGTTGCCGATCATCTGATAGACTGCGACGCCTAGCGGCACAAGCAGATTTTGACAAAAGAAGAAGAATCATCACTGAGCAGCAGCAACTAGGTGGAAAGGGAAGGACGTTGTCATTGGCAGACGATATTTTGATGTATTTACAAGGGAAGATTCAGACAGGAGATCGCCAACGAACTCAGTAGAATTCCCTCCTGTTGTGTTGATTCCAATGCTTACGTCAATCCTTCAAAGGCATCAGTGACATGGTTCTCTCTAAATAATCACATTGTCAAAACAGACTTGCCAGAAATCAAAATAGGTAATGAAGTTTTGATCAGAACCAACGTTATGAGATACCTGGGGCTGCAGTTTGATCGTAGCTTGTCCTTCAAGGAACATGTCGATCATGTGGTAATAGAAGCACGCTGAGGTCTGTCGGCAATGAGGGCCATGACCGCTTCCAATATTGAGCAAAGATTACTAGGACTTCTTTTCTACGGGCTGGTCCTTTCCCTATTAAGTATGCTATGACCATCCTCATTGTCAGCTGTATACACATTGAAAGACTTGAAAAGGTGCAAAATAAAGCCATGTGCATTATTGTGCGATGTACGAGAGACACCTCATGTCTAGCAATGAGATATCTGCTTGACTTTCCGACCACGAATCAAAGGATCAAGATCTGGAGGGCTCAGGCATACCTTAAAACAAGCGCTGATAAAAAAAAAAAAAAAAAAAAACACACACACACTCATTGCAACAAGCTCTCTACACTGAAAAAAGCGACAGAAGATCGGACAGAAGATGTCATCCTGCAAGTATGTAGCCCAACCAGTATCACTCCTGGTGAAGAGTGGATACCCGTGCTCCTGTGCTTAATCGCAGCTTTTCTGGTATTGTCACGCTGGACAGAAGATGCAGGCAGCAGAATGCTGTTGTGGTCAATACAGAGGTCAACGCTCTCATCAGCGATAACTGCGACGAAGCAGATGTACTGATCTACAAACGGATCTGTTATACGGCAACAAAGAAGTGCAAGGGCGTTCACAGCACGCTCAGCCGGCAGAACAATCAAAGAAGCCAGCGGTGCCTTCTCCGTGACAACAATCAGCATGACGATGGAGGTGATGGCGGTAACGCAAGCATTCGTATGGCTAAGAACACGAGACTATACCCGTGAATATGTACTTAGCGATTCCATGAGCATGTTCTGAAAGATCCAAGCAGGTTCTGTGCGAAGGTAGTGGACTGAACCATTACAAAAGTCCACTGGGCGTAATGTCGTCTTTATCTTTGTTCCGGGGCACGCAAGCGTCGATCTAAACGAAAGGCATGATAAGTTGGCAGAATCAGCTGTCATTGATGAAGGTCAATCCCATGGATCATGCTGATATTATTAATGTTCTCAGAGAAGTGGGAAGTGTGGGGAAATTTCGAGACAACTATTCCACATCGCTCACCAAAATGAAAGACTCTGGAGTTGAAATCGGCATAGCCAAAAGATAGAAACACACTGGGCATACACAAAAGACTTTTCAGTCATAAAAGAACTGGTTCTATTAGTCACAGGACGCTGTGGTTCATATTGAGGGAAGGATCTGAGCACCTATGGACATGTCCGCAGTGCAATGATCCTATCCCAGCAAGCCAACTAACTAACAGGTCTTTTGTAGAACGTTGCTGTCATCATGGTCTGCCTGAAAGAAACGCCATCTCTCGCCAGCTCCCCTGCATCGGGCACCTTCCTACCCAACATGTCGTTTCTATCCAGCGCCCCTCTACGTGCTTGTTGTCCCTGCACATTCTAGCACCATGCTTTCTGCCACCCTTTTTTTCAAACCACCGTGGTGCTTGATATAACCAAAAATATTTTAGGTTCCAAGATATTTACTAACAAATCCTCCTCGATGTCCAAATCTTCAAGGATGTTAGTATTTCTTTCCTTCTTTGTCCATGGTATTCTAAGAATATTTCTATAGCATTTAGGTCAAAAGCCTTTTTCTTCCTCCTTGTGGACTGCGAGAAAGTCTGCGGCTAACATCCGTGTATTATGATTTGTCTCCTAAACATAGAAAAGACAGTCAGATATCTACCCATTGTGAATTGGCATGCATCTTTACCTGGTTTCCGGCCACATTTAAGAGAAACAAGCTTTCTTTGTTTCTTCATCTACGTATGTCCTTAAAACTACGACTGGCATGACAGGCTGTGGTTTACGACAAGGCTGCAATATCTTTACTTTTCGGCCCAACATTTTGATTTCAGCAAACCCAAGTATTCGACTTTTACGCAATGCTTGTTACAGGAAGAGCAGGGATTTAACCCCCCCCCACCCCCCCCCCCCCCCCCCCCCCCCCCCCCCCCACCGAACACCCCCCCCCATCCCCCACAAAAGCCCCCCCCCCCCCCCCCCCACCAACACAAAAAATCATCCCACAAAAGGCCACCGAAACCCACACAGGGATCTTCATCTTCTTCTTTTGTCGTCTCACTGATACCAGGTTGTAGCCCAGTGTCGTGGTTTTGTCGTCTCACTAATACCAGGTTGTAGCCCAGTGTCGTGTTTTGTCGTCTCACTTATAGCAGGTTGTAGCCCAGTGTCGTGGTTTTGTCGTCTCACTGATACCATGTTGTAGCCCAGTGTCGTGGTTGTGTCGTCTCACTGATACCATGTTGTAGCCCAGTGTCGTGGTTTTGTCCTCTCACTGATACCAGGTTGTAGCCCAGTGTCGTGGTATTGTCGTCTCACTGATACCAGGTTGTAGCCCAGTGTCGTGGTTTTGTCGTCTCACTGATACCAGGTTGTAGCCCAGTGTCGTGGTATGGTCGTCTCACTGATACCAGGTTATAGTCCAGTGTCGTGGTTTTGTCCTCTCACTGATACCAGGTTGTAGCCCAGTGTCGTGGTTTTGTAGTCTCACTGACACCAGGTTGTAGCCCAGTGTCGTGGTTTTGTCGACTCACTGATATCAGGTTATAGTCAAGTGTCATGATTTTGTCGTCTCACTGATACCAGGTTGTAGCCCAGTGTCGTGTTTTGTCATCTCACTGATACTAGGTTGTTGCCCTGTGTCGAGGTTTTTTTCGTCTCACTGATACCAGATTGTAGCCCAATGTCGTGGTTTTATATATTTGTCTAGAGCTTCTCGAGAAGCTTGAGTGATGGATTTGTGCATCTTTCCGCAGGTTTCGGCTACACCATTTATTTATCTCTTTGTTAGTCTTCCTCTCACCCTCCTCCCAGATGTTCTGCTGTAAAAAATCTCATGTGCAGTCTGGTCTGGCTAGAGGGCCGAACCATTTCATTCTTTGTTTTTCAATATAATCCACGTGGTCTTATTCCATTATTCCAGCTTTCTCTCTAATGCTGGTATTCGTAACCTTGTCTATTCTTGTGTTGTTAGTGATCTTACGGAGTCTGAGCCTTTCGCATGTAGTTATTTTCTGTTCTAGTGCCCTATTGCTGTCCTGGAAAAGTAAAGACAGCCGGCGTAATGCTGACCACATTACCCACAGAGTGCTGATGGTCTGTAAAAATATGTGACGCTCTGCCCATATGCCCGATGCGCCGAAAGGCGTGAAAAGGGATCTTTACTTTTTTTTTATTTTACTAGTGCCCTATTCGTTGTCCATGTCTGACTTTGATAGCCTAAGGTAGGGGTTGGTTAGTTAAGTTAAGTTAGTTACGTATCCTTTACAGGACGTTGAAAAACCAACCCCAGCATTTATTGGCTATAGTGGTTTTCCTGGGCAAACTTTACGTTCAGGAGTTTGCCATTGCTGCTTTACGGTCAGTTTTTGGTACCACTGTCGAAACCAGCGCAAGACAAATCCTCTGCAGGCGGGATCGAACCCGGCACCCAGGAATTACGAAGCACGTTCGCAACGCCTAAGCCATAGACGCCGACAAGGTAGAGATGGAAATGCTGTTAATCATTTGCTGGAAGGGAGACATTTGGGCTTCTAAGCAGTGGGGCTGATATCCCACACGGGGATACTAAGCACATATTGTCAGCCCTATATATTTTTTAGACTAATCGACACTTCCTAAGTCATGCGGCCAATATCACGCCAACTGTCTTTAAAGGTTAGTTGCTTATCCTTCACAGGACGTTGCAGCACCAAGTAGAAGGTGTGGTTTTTTCAATGCAAATTTACGTCAATTAGTTTGCCATTGCTTCTGGACGGTCGGCTTTCTTGATGCCACTGTCGAAACCAACACAAGGCGCATGGCCCGCAGCTGGGATCGAACCCGGCATCCCGGCATTACGAAGCGTTCGCATCGACTTAGACACAGAGCCGACACTGTCTTTACTACTATCAAATTTACTAGTGCATATTTTCTAATGGGTGTTCTACGCGTTCGCACCTGTAAACTCTGGTGGAAAAATCTGTTTAACCCCCCCCCCCCCCCACCACCCCCTCCCCCAAACACCTCTCCCCCTAACCTTTGAAAAATTAGGAATACCAAATTTTTTATCACTTTATATTAAACGAATAAAAAATTATACCACGGACTGAATGACTGACTTTCTAAACCACTAGGACATCACACAAGCGATAAACACCCGATGACACAATTTGCCAACATGTGGGTGAGGATCACCGTGGAGAGGTCCCAGAAACCGCGTTCAGCCTTTAGGCCATATTTATAGCCAGGCTATATTGCTGTCCCTGGCAAGAGCCAGAGTAGGGCGTCAAATAACGGAACATTTCATCCCAAAAAGACGAGAAGTACAAAACAATACACCACGGAGTTGAAATGGCACAATTTACCCAGCATAAATTTACCAGAAAGTGGATAGGACTTATAAAAAATCAAACATTCCTTTTAAATTTCATTTTTAATAATTGTTTTACAATATCTAATAAAATAAATTGCATACAGATATAAATTCTTCGGTTAAAAAAGAAAACGATAGATTGCAATTAATCAAAATAGTTTTAATTTAAAAAAAAAAAAAGTGTTTCCGTTGAAAATTTGATTAACGAAGGCACAAACAATAGAATGCACAATTTACTGCTTGATGTAATTAGCCCTTTTTTTTATCAGACGCATTCTATAGATGTAAATCAACGTACGATGATAAGCAAAATTGATACTTTTAGCAGTGTATGTAAAGGCAATATTTAAGCTTTTTGCAGATGCGGAGGACCGGTACAATTTGGGGGCGGCAAAAATTCAAATAGCGCCCATCATTATGTCTTCTACTGCGCATCATGTGGCGGCGTCCGTGGCTTAGGCGTTGCCAGTCTGAGCTTTACTTTTTTTTTTTGCGCATCATTGCCCCATTAGGATCCCAGCTTGCACATCTGTTTTATCTGTTGTGCATTCAGTAAGTTTAATTACTTCAATACAGTTATAAAGTGAAGTAAATATTTAAACGGCTTATTGTTTTTAGTCTGTAACGAATAGCCAAGCTGTTGAATGTTGAAATAAGAATCGACACCACAGCACTTGGGACACTCCCATAAGTGCTCAGTCCCCATCTTCAGCAGCAAGCAACGAGTTCCAATTCCTATTGTACCAGTAACCGTCCGATTGTATATCTGTCTCGTCATTTCCCTGAGTGTTGAGCGTCGACCAGATCCCAAGTTAACTCTTCGCAGCGCCATTCTCCTCAGACCGTAATGATCTATCTGCGGCTCCGCACTGTTCACCCGCTCCCAAAGGGCCCTCACAATATCTAACTTGTCATATATCACTTCACCACTAAGTGGTGCAGAACCAGCCAGTATATCTGCCTGCTCATTTCATAACACATCGGTATGACCCGGAGAAAATATCCAAAGGATGCTAACTACCCGGGACCTCTGAAGTGACGTAGCCACTATGCACGAAGCATGCCTGTTTTCACCTTTCTCAACATGCTCTGTGAGTCGGTTACAATCACGGCATCTGTGTACAGCTTATCCTCAAGCCAGCGGAAGGCAGCAGAGACTGCCTCCACCTCCATTCTTATATAGCCAAATAGCAGAGCAAAAGTAAAGAAGCTTTTTCCGTGCTTTCAAACGTATAGGGGACATATAAAAAGAAATAAGTAAAGGAGCTTTTCATTGCCCTGCAGGCGTATTGGGCATATAGGGCTAGACCTATATTTTTATAGACCAGACGGCACTTGGGGGATAATGTGGTCAGCTCATGCCGGCCGTCTATACTTCCCAGAACTGCACTGGTATCCAATCAAGGCTGGGTCGATCTGGAAGTCAAAGTTCAATTTTTTAAAATGTTCGGGTCCCGTCAGGAACCGAACCCACGATCTTCCGATTCACAGGCGAGCGTCTAGCCGCTAGACCAGGGCGACTTTTTGGAATATGGCTATACTAATATTTCATAGACCAATCGGCACTATATAGGTGACGAGTTCAGCATCACGCTGGTCGCCTTTCCTTCCCCGGACTTTACCTGATACTCATGTGATGTTGAGAAAAAGGGGGTGTATAATGAATTTCTGCACAGCACGGGAAGGCGGAGGGATGAAGTAATGGTGGGTGTTACATACTAAATACGTCACTGAGTATATACAAAAAACAAAAAGACATGTAGCGATCATTAATCATAGAAAGATGTAGACAGAGAAAAAGTCACACTAGACAATATCAACAGTTACCATCCTAGGAATAGAACTGTCCCCTCTAAATGACGATAGCGCCTCGCTGTCAAATTAAGTGTGTAAAGACCATGACTGATTATACGTCTTTAGGGGTCCTTGTCTGTTTATTTATGGGTGTTGCTTTTAGCTGATCATGTCTTTCGTGACTTATCAGATTCCTTAGAAGTAGAAATTCATCTGCCTGAGAGGCAGGAAACCAACAAGGTGCGTAAACATAAACCAGATCTGCAAAACGGACGTACACGCAACACTACAGCAACGGAACAGATTAAAGTCCAGAAGTGGACGAACAATTGAAACTTTACACCGGAGTTTACAGCCAGTGTACGCGAGGAAGGCTAAAGAGGAAATGATTCCTCAGTTTTTGACAGTCAGAGAAAAGAATGTTGAATTTAAAATCGACATCATAGCACTCAGGACATTCCCATAAGCGCTCCGTCCCCATCTTCAGCAGCAAGCGAAGAGTTCTAATTCCGATAGTACCAGTAAGTGTCTGATTGTATATCCATCTCGCCCTTTCCGTGGGTGCTCAGAGAAGGAAATCGACTAAATGAT